TCTATCGAGTACTTGGCATAATATTTAATTAATATATTATAAATAATTAAATCACCTTTTTAGGTTGATTATTTGCAATATTTACAACCCTAACCATTTGTCGAGCTCGAGTACTAAAGCTCAATATTGAGCTTGCCAACTTCTCGAATTCTATTGAGTCGAGTTCGAGCCTGCCCAATATTACATCGAGTCGAGCTCGAGCTTTGTTCAAACAACTTGCTCGAGCTCGAGTATTGCTACTAGGCATCGAGTTCGAGCTCAAGTATGACGATACTCGAGCTTGACTCGACTTAATATCACTCCTGCTATCCTGTGACGCCTGAAACTGCCAGCGCGTAAGATGGAGGTGGGAAAAATTAATATAATAATAGATGGAAAGTACCAAACCGCATGGCATTCCAACCCGTTCCCCCCCCCAACCCCTAAAAAAAACCAAAAAAAAAGAAGACAGAAAGAACAACAAGCAGCAGTCTTAATTACACTTCTTATGCCCCTAGTGGCTGTGAGATCTTGAAATTCAACTGGGTCCCAACTAAAAGCCAATACCTAAATTCCTAGTGTCAAGAGCATTACCGTTTATAGCAAGCCCCAGAGTATGCTTCCCTTAGAATTGGGAAAGAAAATTCGAACATGACACGACTCTTGATATTGCCATTCCCATGTCCACACCAAAATATACCGTATGTATTCCAATTCTACTTACCGCAATACATACAAGAAAACCCAACAGCATCACTATAATCAGAGTGTATACAAGGAGTCTAGAGTAGTTTCTTTGGTAATTATCCTTGAATCTACAATTTTACTCACTCTCACTGGATATCATCCCATGCAATCCATAAGACAACAAAAGTTCATCCAAGTACCACCACAGAACATTCAAGCCAAGAAGTTAATTCACACTTATTGCATATTACTCCCAAAATCCTATCTCTAAGTTCACCATGATCATATCCAGGGATGTGAAACTCAACAAATGCATAATCAAGACAGATATAGATCAAGCAAAGCAATTAGGCTAACCTGGGCAAGGCCCTTAAGTAAGGATCTCAATGCCGTATTGATATTGAGAACCCGAATGGCTCCTAATTTGAGTCCATAGCAAATGTAAGTCTTATTCACCGCAATCTGCCTTCCAAGAACCAGACCAGGGTCTGAACCATACTTGGTAATTGGAGTAACCTCGAGCTGAGGCTGCACCTCACCCGGCAACCTAACATCAATGTCATAAACCACGTGATCACCTATCAAATGCCGCCCCTTTGGCAGCTTACTGCTCGGCATCCGCATTGGCCCCGGATGGGGAAAACCCACATTCGGGCCAGAACCCATCATGGGCAAACTTTGGGGGTTGGAAAAATCTGATCCCCCAGAGTTAGTAGGCTGAATGGGAGGCATTGGCATGGCTGGTTGTGGCGGGATTTCGAGGGTAGAAGGCGGAGCACTCAACAAAGCCATCAGCCTCGCCCCTGGATTCTGGTTAGTGGCATTACTCCCACTGCTGTTGCCAACATTATTGTTATTATTACCGGGATTTTGGGGGAACTGGTGATGGAGAGGGCCAGAAAGAGGAGGCTGAAGCGGGGGTGTAGGAAAGGACATGGACCTCTGCTGGTGCAAATTACTAGTAAACTGAGAGGAGGGATCCGGCTGAAGTTGTGGAGGATTAGAACCACTGTTACTAAATTGGGGAAGATGGTGGTGGTGGTGGTGAAATTGGGGCGGAGGATGGTGGTGGAAAGGCGAGGTCTGAGGAGCGTAGGAGTAGGCCCCACCAGGGGCGCCACCAGTAGGAGGTGGATAAGAGGCGGAAGGAGGTGGGAATGGGCCAGAAATCAAATTAGGGTTATTAGGGTTTTGGGGATTGGGGGAAGAAGAAGGAGGAGGAGTAGGAGTAGAAGATGTAGGGTTGGGGACAACAGCAGCAGCAGCAGCAGCAGATGACGGTGAAGAGGGCTTGAAGAATTTATGCATATCAAATGGTCCTCCACCTGGTTGATTTGGATTGCCAGGGGAAGCCATCTATCCAATTATAGTTACTCCTAATCTCACAATCCCAATAGTTCCAGATTACTGAGATCTGAGAAAATATTGCAAAAAAATGTTCTGCTGCGTAAAATATATACGGAGTCCAATATATAATTATGTGTATGTGTGTGTGTGTGTGTGCGTGTGTGTGATTCCACAGTATAGAAGAAGGAAGCGGAGTTATGGAGATTTAAGATCCGATTGAGCAGAAGACAAGAAGGGAGTGAGGGAGGGGGAGGGACCAGAGGCCCAGATGGATGCGGGGGTGGGTCTTTTTTTCTCTCTCAGTTTCAACTGTGGTGGTGGGACGGACGGGATTTGAGTATTATTATGGGATTTTGGAGACTTTGGGGAGACCAAAATACACTGCGAGTCTACTACACTGTAGCATACATGAGAGAAGAAGATGGATGCGGGTAATAAGGCAACTAGGTTTTCTTTTATTATTATTATTATTATTGTTTGCCGGAATTTGTCTCTCTTTGGAGATCTATTCTTATTTCGAGCGTATTTGGATATGAGATTGTTTTGAAAAAAAAAATAGAATAGTAATATGTATAGTAGTATTTTTCATAATATAATATTCCTATGAATAATGTATATGAGATAAAAAAAATTGAAAATTATTTGTGGACAATTTAGCGTTTGTTTCTGGTATTCCTTTTCCTTCATTTGAAGCACTCTCCATGCATGGCAATTTTTTTTTTTTTTTTGGTAATCTGGAACATACCCTAACTCGAATCCTTAGGACCCGAGCCGGCACATCAAATCGCAGGAATGCACCACGGCCCCACGCAGCGACCTCAAACAAGTCACGGAGGTTCAAGTTTAGGGTAAAATTCGAATTCAAGATCACAAGAGTTCTTAAAAGTCCGCTTACTGCTGGATCATCCCATGAGGACCATGCATGGCAATGTTGGATAGATTAAGTAGGCAACCATTTTTTTTTTTTGTGATGCACCTACACGATTAAAGAGTAGCCTTTTATCCAACCCTCAATGCTTTAATGGATTTTTAAATCTTGCACGAAATAAATTACCGCTTACAAATTGAATTGCTATCAAATCAAATACTCCACCAAACTTGGCCATGCAAAAGACATAAGCTTGTGATGTTATATGTTATTTAGGGTACTAGGAGTTTTATTCATGTTTTAGCACAAATTTACCCGTGTTACTAAATTCCATCTTTTATTTTATCGTCCTCTTTTATCTTTGGAGTGTATTACTATTATATGGCACACTTGTCAGTACTATCATCATCATACACATAAAAGATGACCGAGCAAGACGCTTTAACTACATCGAATTAGCATATTTTCTAAAAGGTACACATTAAAGTAAAAAAACTTACACATGAAAAATGAAATATTCTCCTCATTTTCTACTCCAATTTATGGATTTTTTTTTAACAGGGAATGGATGAAATTTAAAAAGCAGATAAAGGATGGAGAGTAAGCCTTATCGGCAACAATATGTGGATTTTTGATGAAACAAGAATGGCCTTTTTTTTTTTTTTTAGAAGGGATGGATCGGATGAAACAAAAAGCTCTTGTCCAAAGGGAGATTACAGGTCTTTCGAGAAGAGGAAAGAGAAGAAATGAGAGAGTTTGAGAATGGAACCAAGAGCCTCAGACTTTTGTTAGTATCCCTACCAACTAAGCTTGTTGTTAGGGACTAATACAAGGCCAAACCCATAACAGTCGATTCCAACTTGGGCCAACAGTGTCCCTTCTCATTTACACGGTTAGGGTCTATTTTCTCTGGACCATCCAGGATCAATGTTTGTCTACGGCCCACATTAACCTTCGTTAATAGGGCCCAACATTTAGTTCCATCTCAAGTCTTCAAAATTTAAAAGGGCTGAATTCACAGATTCAATATTTAAAAGGGCTGAATTCTTTTTATTTTTCTCTTTTGGATAACATTGCAACCAACTCATAGTGACGAGAATTATAACTCTTAACCCTTGAATGCAACTCTTAAATCCTTAGTCACTAAGACTAATGCCTTATTAGATCACACATTTATATTCTAAATCCGTATCTTGTACTCTCTTCATCTCATATATTTAGTCATGTTTGAAAATATGGATTTTTATACATAGCATACTCTATCAAAAAGTTTTTCCTTCTGTTTTACTTTTACTCTTAATCATGTGCTGGTCAAAGTAAAAAGTAGAAAGTAATCTCATCACATTTGTCTTTATGTATCATTAATGAAGGGTATAAGGAAAATTTCAGAGTATAAAATAGTTAGAAATGTCAAACATAACAAATATTTTAGAACAGCAAAAAAAAAATATATATATAAAACTTTCAATAGAACGGAGGGAGTATCTTATATTTGTTGATTGATGAATATTGCGGTGGACATTAATATTTATAGAAGATAGTAGATTGGGGGATAGGAAAATGCTAACAGAGCTTTATATGGTTTTCTATATATATATATTTTTTACCCCTTATCTCATTAAAATCATTCATGCTGGTTGCGCTGAGGATAATATCAGGTTCGGCGGACAGGAGTCCACTTCATATGTTCCCCCTGTTTAGTATTTGGTAGGGTGGGACAATAGTCACATGTCAATGGGTCACGGTTTTATTTTGAAGGATGGAGAATAGACGTTTGAGGACTGAATTAACCATTTTCCCCTTGTGATGGTATAACCCATTTATTTTTTAGAAGAATTTCCAGTTTATTAAGTAATAAGAATTACAAATTCACCATGCTTTAAGACGTGGACTTAGAATCATAAAGGGGCCCGAGAACTGTGGAATCCTTTTTAAAGGTGTCCAAAACACACACACACATATATATATCGTAACTTTTGAAGGTAGACTTGTCCAAATTCAGCTGCAGCTACAGGTTTTTGGTAAAGTATAACACAAAAATTGCAACTGACAAAGAAATATATCTGCAGTTTCTCATAAACCAGGGGGTGCATTGCTACAATCGCAATTTATGGATGAACTAACCCGCGAAAAGAAGAAATAAGTTACGAATAATTACTTCTTAAATTTCATCCATTCTTCCTTCAAGTAAGAGAAGGGGATGAATATGGGGAACATCTCTGACGGGAGAGGGCAATCAAGGATGGTAAGGTGGAGTTGTGCACGATTTAATTTGCTTAACGGACAGAATGCGTAGAGTAACCGCTTCATAGGACAAATCTATCTATCTATCTATCGTCTGCCTCCTCACCTATCAAAAAGGAGCCCAACCCAACTCTTTCTTGAACGCTCACCAGACTTTGCCATCCTTCCTTCCCAAACTCCAACATACCCCTCTGTTTTCTCGACTTCCCAGGCTGCTATCAGGATTCTGGAGTATCATTTATCCGAAAAAGCAAACAACATTAGACCATCTATCAGGATTCTGGAGAATTAAGGTTGTCCCGAATCGAGATCCGACATGTGTTGTGGGGCCAGAATTTGCATGTTCTGCACATGCCTGATTTTGGCGGTGATAGTCATCGGATTCTTGTTTGGATTTGGAGTTTTCAAGCATGGTTTTCACAAGTTGGAGGACACCCTGCATGCCTGTGATCCCGCTGCCGCCTCCTCATGCGGCGGCTCCTCCATGAAGAGGCCCTTCTTAGGCTTCAACGCCCCTCCTCCCTACTAGAATAGAATAGGCTCTTTTCATCGTCATCTTCTCTTCTACCGTTACTTTGGATTTGCAAGCTCAATTTACTCCAGCATTATAGTGCTGCTGGTTTATCCCCGCCCTGATTCTTTTGTATCGTCCTACTACTCTTTTAAGTTTGTGATTTTTCTGTTCAACACTTGATTCATGATTGGTTTTTTCTTGAATCTCATCTACGTTAATCAGTAAATTACATTTGCATTGTGGTTTCAGAAGTTTGTTCATTGCGGAACAAGAATATATGCCTTCAGGTTCAGCAGCAAGCATTATCCTGTTAATTGAATTTGCGTTTGAGCAGGTAGCCAACCTGGTATTCAGCGATTATTTCAATTCACAATTAGACTACTGGGTTTGGGATCAAGTCTATGATCCTGGATCAGATTCTAGGCAGCAGCAACTGCACGGCGGCTGAGATTTTTTGTCTTTTTTTTTTTTTTTGCCCTTTGGTCTGGACTCTGGAACGATAGGATTTTATTAGAGCTCGAAAAGCTTTTACAGTAGCCTCAGCAACTACCAAGCCTCAACCTTCTTCAGTGCCTCTTTTAGCCGCAAAAAAAGGAAATAGAGAACTCGAACTAAAAATTTCCTCTTCGAGTGCTGCTGCCTGCCTCTCCATCTGAGTTTTGCGCTTGCCCTGGTACAATCGATTTACAAGAAGACTGGATATCAATTCTGTTCCGTCTTTCTTCCTGGCCCTCGAATGGAACCTTTGCAGAGCTATTTTTATAATAATTATATATTGGTACTATTGGCCTAAGCTGCAAAAATTTCACCTCGAATGACAGCCCTCGAGTGTTTTTTTTTTTTTTTTCTCTCTTTTTTGGGGGCATGGGTGAAACTAATTGGAAAAAGTTTTTAAATGTAGAGGCACAATAAATTATATTAACCTCCCTTTAAATTTATTACCTTGTAACATTTAGATTTAACCAATAATTTAAAAGTGATATTTAGAAAAGACAAAATAATATGATTTCGTCATTGCCTCTTATTTACTGTATTATTTATAATCTAATATCAGCCTAAATACTCAAGAAAATACTAGAATTTGCTAGTTATCATTAAGGGGTCGAATTACATATAACATCAAAAAATAGTATATTTAGTCATATATTTCACTTAATATATAAGATCTAAATTACTTTTTTCAATTACAGATCTATTGGTCAATGACAAATAATAAAAAAAACTAAAATATTACAAAAAATGAATTTAATACTATAAAAATTTCAGCAACTAAACTTAATATGTTGATAAGAATATTTATGACATTAGAATTTGTTTTCTGTAATATTTTGGTTATAAATTTTTTAATTATTTATTATTGATCATGTTTGATATTGAGTAGGCAACTAAAAAAATTAATTTGAATTTTATATTAAGTGAAAAATATAAAATATAATTAAGGCTTTTACATCCATCAATATTTGGTCGATGACAGATGTTTAGCTAACGCCATCATGCGAATGCCTTCAAAATCTGTCCTCGTGAAACGCATTTACCAGCGCCCATACAAAATAAAAAGCCCATACAAAGCAAACGGGAATTATGCGACTTTGTACAGGCTATAATTGATTACTATTACTACTTGCTAAATTGTCGTATTTACGAGCGCCGGTCGCCGCCCCCCGGCCGGAGATAGAGAGAAAAACCGAAGCAGCAGTCTGTCGTCGGTCAAATCAACCAGCTCCGTCAAGCCAGTCAACGGACCTGCAAGATAACTTTGTCAATAAGAAAAGAAAGACCCAAAGAAAAAGAATATATATATATACATATATAGGCATTCTGTTTATTTAGTCACTGTAGTTCATTCATCTACCAATCACAAAATTACAGCTTTTTTCCAAGTTTATCCGAAAAGAAGAAGAAGAAACGAGTCCAACCGGAGTAAAAAAGATGAAGATCACCGTAATGACCGCCGACGAACAAATTCTCACCTTGGATGTCGATCGTGATGAATCCGTAATTTATCCTCGTTTCTCTCTTTCCACTGTATTTCTTTTTTTAGTTTTGTCTTCGCTGATTACTTTGTTCAACACATCACCTCATCCATTGCAGGTTGAGAACCTCAAAGCTCTACTGGAAGTCGAGGTTAGTTTTTCTTCCTTTTTAACTATTTCTTACCCCCCAAATTATTGATTGAATTCTGGATGAGTAATTCATATGTTTTGATAATCAGACACAAGTGCCGCTTCAGCAACAGCAGCTGTTATATAATGGGACGGAGATGAGGAATGCGGAGAAACTGAGTGGGCTTGGTGTTGGTGATGGAGATTTGGTGATGATGGTATCCAATGCCAATGCTTTGTCGTCATCTAGGTATTTAATCTTCGTTCTTTAGCTGCTAATTTGCTGATTTTTGCTAGTTTATGCTAGGTTGTATTCTTCACACCTCGGAAAATTGCTAAAAGCTTGTAGCTTTATGAGTTATACTGCAAATTGGTCTCGTTTGGATTGACGATTTGACAGCTAAAGGTTTTTTCTTTTTCCTTTTTGTTGTTTGGGACAAATTACTGTTGAGTACTACTAATATTCAATTTCCTACTTTAAGCCAAGTAGTCTGCTTTGCAGCTGTTGAATTGCTTAAAGTTTGTAGCTTTAGGAGTTTTACTGCAACTTGTGTAGAATTTTCTTTAGAAATAAGGAATTTGTACGCTGCCCTACCATAATGTGGCTCTAAGAACTAGAAACATATACCTAAACTATCTGTTAATAGGGCATGCACAAGGAAGAAATACCTGAACCATCTGTTCCTCATCCCATACTTTTGGTGATTGTTTACTTGTTAAAAGAAAACAGAGAAAAAGCAGAACTCTTAGTGATCAGTTATAATATTTTGGATCTTATGCCTTCATCATTTTATCAGCTTAATACTTGCTATTAATTGTGTCAAAATGTAATCTTGGCAGCCACGATCTTTTGCTTTATTGCATATGAGAAGTAATAGGGAATGTGAGATCAATACACTTTATTGTGTCTTCGAATTCCATAGGAGTTGCACCCTTGACACTGATTGCATCTTATTTTGCACCATGCTTTTTACTTTTATGGTTGTTATATCAGTTTCATGGCCTACTACTCACTTTAATTAGTTATCTGGGTGATTTCATGCTAATTTATGTGATTTTGACTATAACAATAGACCTACAAATGATTCGGGCTTCAATCCAGATGGTTCTGCTGTCAACCCTTCAGCTTTCCAACAACACCTGCGAAATGACTCTAATATAATGGCCCAACTTTTTCAGGTAGAGTTGGTTTAACATCTCTGTCTGTCTGTATCTCTGTGTGTGTGTGTGTGTGTGTCTGTGTGATGCATTCCTTCACTTTTCTACTTAACAATTATTGAAAGAGTTATATACTTCTCTAGTATTTTGTTCCATCTCGTTGCTGTTACATTATTGATGTCCTAACTGGGAAGTCAAATGAGGGTACGTTCACTGTTTCAACTTACAGAATGATCCAGAGTTGGCTCAAGTTCTTCTTGGAAATGATCTCGACCGCTTGCAAGATCTATTGCGTGTGCGTCATCGCCAGAGAGCTGAATTACAGCGTCAACAAGATGAGGAGTTGGTTAGTGTCTTATGTTGATGATATTTTGTTCTTGATCCTTTCGGCACCTAGTAATCCTTAGTATGGTGGCTTGGTTCATTTTCTTCACTGATGGCCTAATATCATGCTAAAGCTTTAGTTTAAGCTTTTGCCAGGTGCTTCAAAGGTATCTGAAGTGTTTGTGTTATTTTAGGCTGGGACAGTGAAGGTCTTAGAAAATGGTTGTTTGAGAGTGTAAAACCCTCAGTTTTCTACAGCAGTATTAGCCTCAAAATGTATCCTACTCTGGTTTTCATCATTATGCAGTAGAAATGAGCGCATGCAATGGGATACTTGCTTCAATTTGTAACAAATCAATGAATACGGTCTCTGAAGTGGGTGGGTGGGAAGTTATAACAACCTTTTTATTTATATGTTGTTTTATAAAAGTGCTGTCTTTCCAAGTCTATTTGCAGACCTTTTTTCACAACCGAGTCCATAAGTGTAAACCTGGTAGTGTAAATGTCTTGACCATTTTATTGACCTGGCTATTCACTACATTGTTCTCTTTGTAACCTAGGCTCTCCTCCATGCTGATCCATTTGATGTGGAGGCTCAAAAGAGAATTGAAGCTGCCATTCGCCAGAAAGGTATTGATGAGAACTGGGCAGCTGCATTGGAACAAAATCCTGAAGGTTTTGCAAGGGTGGTATGTATAAAAGAATACCAGTGTTGAAATCATATCTTTTGTTCTTTAACCAATGACGGGTTCATGTTTGTGCTTCTTTCAGGTCATGTTGTATGTTGACATGGAAGTAAATGGAGTACCTCTGAAGGTATAGATAGATGGTAAAAGGGATTAGTCTGGTTCCTTCATGTACCTTTTTATTGTTTACTCAAGCTTTCACCCTTCATTCTGTGCCATGAGAAGGAAAGACTTGAACGTTGTTTATACTTTTGAGATTTTTTTAGAAACTCAATTGTGAATGCTTTTAGGTTGTTTCTTTGCAGTCCCTTTTATTGTTTAGTATGTGATTCAGTAGGAAACCATCTTTGTTTCAGGCCTTCGTCGACAGTGGTGCTCAGTCTACAATTATCTCTAAAAGCTGTGCAGAACGCTGTGGGTATGAGCCTCATTTGTTACTATAAATAGCTTTGTTTTCCTCGATTTTTACAATTTTTTTTCCAGTTAGCTTGAAAGTGATTCTTTTGGAAATTATCAAGTTTTGATTTTATGCATTTTCCAGATTTGTCCTTTTCAAATTTTGATTGGTTCTTTCATGGCCTTTTAGAAATTCAAATGATAAGCTTATATATTGTCTGCCACTCCATAGTTTTATATCTGCATCTTGTTCCCGACTGTAATGTTGTAAAAAAGTGACTTTCAGTCCTAAACTGATCCGAGTAGAAAACTGTAGTTTTCCTGAAGCAGACCTGTTAGATTGGGCAACTTCTTTGTTGATTAGTCAAGATGATACAAAATGAACTTTTAGTTGTTGACAATTTTTGTTCTGATGGTTACCTATAAAGATAGACAGAAAATTTGTCCTCTTTCTGTTAACGCTTGATTGAAGGTTTGTGCTGCTACATGCCCACCTTTCAGGTTGTTGAGGCTTTTAGATACACGGTACCGTGGCATTGCTCATGGAGTTGGTCAATCAGAGATACTTGGCCGTATACATGTTGCTCCAATCAAAGTATGGATGCTGTCTATTGTTGCAATTTCTATTTGATAAGCATGTATCTATTTTCATGTCTCTGTGAGTTTGGGACTAATTCGAAATGCATATACAGTTTTTATGAAGTTTATTCTGTTAATGCATTTTTAATCATTCTACTCTGGCACGTCTTACCATGTACTTTGTCTGGATTAGGTCATAATTAGTTTAGAAGGAAATAATTCAAGAAGTACATATTTATTAAGTTTAACTAAGTAATACATGCAAGAGTCAACCCAGATAAACAAAAATCAGAACTCTGTAGTTTTCGAGTAGTATTAAGAATATGACCCTGAGCTTAACTTTCCCCACAGTTTACAAAACCCATCCAGTAGGTAAAAGTGGTGGTCTATTAGCTTCTTTGTGTTTGTTGAAAAAAAAAATTAGCTTCTTTGTGCCTTTGAATGCCGCTTCCTAAGCCTTAAGTAACGGGGTTAAGCAATGTTTTTGCAGTTCCTTGCACTATTAGTCTTTATTTGTAGATATAAGTGGTATCAGAGAAAATTCTGTCAGTGCTTGTTTTTGTTGCTAAAATTCGGATGATATATATATAGAGTCTACTGAAAATAGCCTTCCTGTGAAAGCATATGGGGTTGTTCGAGTACTTTCAAAAGTGCTTATTGCCCTCTTATTGTGATAGATCGGCAACATCTTTTACCCATGTTCCTTCCTGGTATTGGATGCACCTAATATGGAATTTCTTTTTGGATTGGATATGCTGCGTAAGCACCAGGTATGTATTAGTTCTATGGTGCATCTTTTTCTGTGATCTTAAGTCAAACTTATTTCATAAAAACAAGCTTTTGCTGGTGCCTGCAGTGCATGATTGATCTGAAGGAGAATGTCTTGAGAGTTGGTGGAGGGGAGGTTTCCGTGCCATTTTTGCATGGTTGGTCCCACATTTCTGCTTTTCCGTTTTCCTAGGCTTCTTTTCACTTTGGATCAATTTAGAGCTTATTCCCAAAGTTGTGATTTTAGAAAAGGACATTCCGTCTACTTTTTTGGATGAAGGAACGCAAGCCAAAGAAGCTTCAAGTTCTGGGGCACAAGTAAGTGTCTTGTTCATCATGCCATGTTTCTACTCAGGAATCTCCTATAAATCTTGTAATTGCCTGTGATACTGCTAATTTTTGTTTATTTAATTGGTTATACTATTTATCCCGGCCTTTTCTTACTATTCCACTTCTATCTGCTTCTTTTGGATGCATATATACATGCTGTTATAAAAAAAAAAAAGCATCAGACAATGAGTTCACATTAAGACTTGCCTACAATTTTCTAGATTTGTTACCCTTAAGACTGAATACTATGAAAGTTCTGGTTTTGCTAACGGACACCGGATTGTCTGCTTATTTAGTTGAACTTATAGTTAGCATTGCATGTAATGTGGATACGCTGTTCTTTACAATTGCATCTTGAGTTAACAGATTAATTGTATTTGATCTGGGGAAGTTATAGAATTATGCATGTATGAAGATATTGCTTCTTGTGAGAGCTGCTTAAGAGAGAGTTTCTCTGTTAAAATCTTTTACCTATTTGTTTGGTTTCTCAACTGATTTTGCAATGGATATGACGTTTTTGGCCGTTTTTCGTTTCCAGGCCTCATCTGGTAATACAGAGAAAGACAATACACCGAAGCGAGGTCCTTCAGGTTATAATTTAAATACCCAAACATATGCTATTGCTTCTATGGATTAAATTTGTACCACAGCAATTTTTTTTTTTTTTTAATTAAGCTTGATTTTATGGTGGTTATATTTGTGAGTTGTGGTTCTGTTTCTTTTTCAACAAATAGAAAACTTACCATTTCCTTTTTCTTTGGTTTCAGGAGGTTCACAAGGCAACTTGACACAGGTAAGTTGGGAGAGACTTCATATCAGATGCTGTCTTGCAGTTTGTTTTGAGTAATAGTCCAGCCCGTCTTCTATTCAGTATTGCTATCGCACTTGGCCAGTTGGTGTTTCTCCATCATCAACCCTGTAAAATGTTCATAGTCCCGACAGTTCAAGTTTTGATCCGGCCTCAGACTTATCATTTATTTGAGTGCAGGGACAGGATTTTGAAGCCAAAGTTGCAAAACTTGTCGAGCTGGGTTTTGGCAGAGAGGCAGTTATACAAGCTCTAAAGTTCTTTGATGGTAATGAAGAACAAGCAGCTGCATATCTTTTTGGGGGCTGAATATAATTTTTTTTTTTCAATCAGGGGATTCTTTAACTTAATCAGTATGATTGCAACATTCATTTGGTTGATCAATGACTGCACAGCAACTGTTGCAGATCTTATCATGACCGGTCCGATGAGAATAATGGGTTGGGGGGTGTTCTCAATACTCTGGAAATTGCGCCATTACTGATGGATATTTGTTAAAGTACGATCCTCGCAATTTGTATTTTTCCTTCTCCTACCATCCTTCATTCCCATCTTCTACTTGGTGCCTGGATTCACCTGTTGGACACCTGCCAGACGTCTGAACTGAGATAAGGCTCAAGCTAGAACCTGTCCACAAAATTTGCATTAATATTTTTAGACACAATTAAAGAGACAAATTACCAGGAAAGATGCTACCTTGAAATGCACAATTGACATATGATTCTATCGCAAAAGCAGAATTTGACATAATGACAAGACAAATAGCGTTTGTGTAGGACCGTATAAATTGCTATGTCCACTCCGCTGTAGAACAACATGACTGTATTTCCATTTGCTCTCTGGTAACCATCTATCTATGTCACTGCCCCTCCGTACCCCAATCCCCCTCCCGGGGGGGCTCCCATAAAAAGAAAAAAAAAAAAAAACGAAAAGACACTTCAGATAACTTTCTTTGGACATCGGTAATACTGGGGCCGACCAATTAATAATAACAATAATGTTGCTCTACTTTTTGCGATAGATTATAGATCCGAAAAATATTCCCATGCATATTCTATCCATTCGAGACCGTGAATCCCATATAAAGAAACGTTCTCAGTCTGAAAGCACAGGGATCAAACACGTTAACGTTGTTCCTGACTCCTCCCAGATCAAACTCTCCATCTGGTGGGATACATATGCCACTGAAGAACAGGGGAAGATTGAAGATGTCGGATCATTCACGGGGGAATGAAATTAGCTAAGCAACCGACACCAGGTTGACGCAGTTTTTTGTGTCTTCCAAAGGTAAATCAAGTCCCCAATTCACTGTTCCTTTTGGGTCTTAAACCGTACCAGGTTCTCTTTCCAGCAGTTTTTTTGTTTTGTTCCTTTCCTTTCAATTTTCACTTGGGCAAATTGCGGATAGAAGAAACAAACTAGCGATTGCTTTGGTTGGTTTTCTTTCATCTTTCTATCCATCTATAACTTCAGCTGTTAAGGTTTCCGACAAATCATACTACTTTTTTTTTTTTTTTCTTCTTTTGAGGGTGACAAATCATACTCCTAGACTACTTGTAATGCAAGTGCTGCCCATCACTCGAACGTAAACTATCAAGTTTGGTGACATGTCCTAATTGGTAACTACATTCCAGTCTACCAAAAGAAGCCGTTTTATTCTAAAACTAGCAACCACTAATTATTTATATAACAATATGGAAGTCGCCAGAGGGGGCCACTTCTTGGTGATTTTGATTGTGAGTTGTGACCAATAAATCTGCTCCATCAATATATGTATTTTTCTGTGCTATATTCATTTTGCAATGCAAAAGGGAAAAAAAAATTCCCTCTAATTTGGTACTGAATGAAAGTAACTGGTCTGAATTGGTAGTACCAGTTATTAGTTAACGTCTCTCTCCCACGTTACTGAACTGGGAGGCCAGCCTGACTGTGACGATTCACCTTCTTTCTTTTGACATCTTCTCCAGCTGTTAAAAGGAGACAAGCGGAAGAATTGCAAGAAGACTCCTGCCTTCCCAGCTTTAGCCGGAACGCCGCTGTCAACATTCACTTCGGGTTCTTGAGATATGGTAGTTAAGAGTCAATTCCCTCAATAATGGCCCAACATTACTCTCAGAATTATTGGGGTTGCAAAAGTAAGGAACTTTCAGGTGTGGAAATGACCCTCATCTATTTCAACTCTGGCATGAATGATTCGGTGAATAAGATTTGTATGGTCATGGTTTGGCCTTTTCCCCTTTCTTTAGTCAAAGAGGCTTCGTAAGTGATGGTTTACTGGCCATTTGATGTTCCCAAGTATGTCGCTGCTTTGATCAATCCTAGTACAACTTCAATCATCTCTCTGTTTTTTTCTGGTCTAGGAGCAGCCTTTACTCGATCATATGCATCGAGTAGGACAAATTAGATGCTCTTCATGAATACAGTCTCACGCATTTGAAAGCAGCAGAACTTTTTATTTTCCTTTTTATGGGGGTTACAGCGAAGCTAGAACATATGCTGTTCCACAAGTGCACCTAGGTCACACGTCAAAATTAAACAGTCGAACTTGGACTAGTATGGTTTGCTGAATATAAATCCTTCTATCATCTTGCATTTGTAGACAAGTTCAGTCCAAGAACATACATATCCAATATCAGAAGAGCAATATCAACTGAACTGGAATCAATTTCTGTACATGTACACAAACTAATTGCATCCAATAAAAGAATGTTTGTTCAGGGAAACAAATCTGTGCACTAGCACTGCAGCATATGGGCTTAAACAAGCTAAACTTTTGTTTTTCCCCATCACCTGTCATTCAGAAGCCTTTCCAGGCAGCGAGAACTTCATGGAAGATTTCAGAAATCAGTTCTCTATCTGCACATTGCAGGAAAGCATCAAATTCCCCTCGCATTTCAAAGATCTTACCAAACTTCACAAGATACCGCATGCAGCTCTTCTTCAACTTCGGTAATTCATAAAGAGAAGCACTCTGGAGCCTCTCCAGCACATTCTTGGTATCAATGTCTTCCAGTAGACTTTCATGACATGCCTCTTTCAAGTCTGAAATATCATACTTATCAGCAGCTCGTATGAGGGCTAGCCTGTGAGTCATGAACTCCTCAGTTCGGATGTTCCCATAAATGTAACTAAGGAAAGCTTGACAAGCTTCAATCGACATGTCAGAGATGTTTATAGTGGACAGTTCTTTCTCCCTGAGGTCGTGCGAGAACATGCTCCTGAAAACAGGTGATCTCGCGGCAAGAACTGCACGATGTGCCCCAATGCTACCATCAGAAGCATGGATTACAATGTCTGTGTGGATACCTTCAGACAACATTCGTCCTAGTGATGCTAAAGCTGTTGCATTTGATTGTTTCTGTTGGAACCCTTCAGCCCAGATAGAGCAAATTTCCCCACCCTGCATGTCTCGAATGACATTTATCAGAAATTTAACCAACAGACTCAAGAAGGCTCTACTGGCAAGCCACATGTATAAATTTGATTTTCATGCAATGAAATTACTTTAACAATATTGTGTTTTTCAAATATCTGCACCGTGTCGTGCTCATGATAACTGCTACAAAAAAAAAAAAAAAGAGAATCCTCGTTTGCCTACCAAGTTTTTGGCAGAAGCAAACGTCTAAAGCGATCGTCATAGATACACACATCAAAGTACAAAAAAGGAGCAAAAATATGTGGTAGGTGAAATCATACGTTTGGGGATGTAGCCTTCAAATCAAGAAACTCAACGTCGATGATGAATTTCCCTGTGAGTGGAACTTCTACAGCCCAAACAAAGTCGTCGGTGTTCTTGAGCTGCCTATCGACAATTTCTGCATGGAAAACGAGGGGAAAACAACGGAACAAGTTACTAACATGAGATGAAAAAAGGAATCTTTACCGGTAATAGATCCAGAGTTGCACAATAATCAATAGAAGGGGACAGACAAACAAAAAGACAATTTACCTGGATGAACCAAAGTCTTGCGATCTCCCACTGAAGAGACTACTCTAATAATAAAAGATGCAATTGGAGGATTTTCTCTGGTTAGATTTGATATCTCTGGGAATAGTTTAATGAACAGAGTCCGATTCTTCTCCAAAGCCAAATGCCTGCATTTCCAAAATAATTGAAAAAAAAAAAAGGGAAACGAACATTCAATTGCAATGAAACAAAATTAGCTCCCAACACTTGCATCTACATGTTACGAATAGCCAAAGCAGTTCTTCCCTCCACTTTCCTAAAAGTAAGCAAGAAAAAGGTCAAAGATCAAAACTTGGCAGCAATATTTTAACTGTACTTTGGGGCAAGAGCTAACGTTGCTAAAAGCTTCATTTCGTTAAAACCATACAATAAGATTACCTGTCTATCCAATAATTCAAGACAAGGATTCAAGTTCATAGGCATATGTTAATCTACAATCTCATCACTTCTTTAGTGTCCCCTGTTTTCTCTGTCTCAGCCACTCAAACAATTAATCACCATAGCTCTAAATTCACTCAATCTAATTTCATCAAAGACACAAAAATTTTGGGTTTTCTTTCTTTCGGTAATTGACCACCATCCTAGATCACTATAACGCAGTTGATGACCAGGGTCAAGCCTCTTTAGCTACCCCTGTTTCCATCCAACCTCTGTTTTTCCTATACAATGAAGACGAAGACGAAAGCAGAGGAGTTCCCGGGTAAAAAAAGGAAAAGAAAAAGAGATATAAACAAACAGAGGCCTGACGTGAGAATGGGATTACCAGTTCCACTTTCCGATCTTGAAAGGATCGGACTTTCGATAAGTGCAAGAAGCCAAGTTGTCGATCCGCCATTGGGCGAGGCGCGAGGTGGTTTCAACGCGGTAAGCAGAGTCAGTCATCCTAGAAAAGACAAGGGCCGCCGTGATTTCATGGATGCAGTCCAGTAATCCCTCCAACGTCAGTTCTCCGGGCTTTCCCAGGTTTGCTTTCTACTTCTACAACAACTACAACTAGCTCAACTAATTCTCCCGGACTTCTATTCATAAACAGCAACAACTCTTGTAGTATATTCATATATTATTACTCCACTAGTCTGATACTCTTAACGATGTCCAATGTTTCCAACGCCAAGACTCTTTCTTCTTTAAACAAACGTAGCCCACTTGAGGATTTTAGATTTAAAGCCTTTCTTTTTGCTCTTCTCGGATGGACCCAATTCGTTTTGAAGGTTTCGGACACGCAAGGCTATTTGTTGATATTGCTTTACGCCATTGATAGTGAAGTTTTTGCTACGGGAAATGAGTGGTCTAATTCTATAGCCTTGCGGTTTCTGAGAGAGATAGAGAGAGGCAGAGAGAGAGAGAGGGATTTTGTTGGCTTATGCTGCACTTCAGGCTGATGGTTATTTAATGGCAAAATTTTCTTGCGTGCAAACATTTGTTTGATTGGAGATCCTATGCCACGGAGTTGTTTATAAGTCAGGGGGCACTTGGGAGGGGTATGGTCGAATGCTTGGGACTTGGAATGGAACAGAATTTTTAAAATTTTGTTGCTTTCAAGCAAGGTATCTTCTTTGCTTTGCTAAAGATGGGTGGTTTACCAGGAAAGGAAATGAAAGGAAAGGAATCCATTAGGATTATTTTTTTTTCCCTTTTCTGAGTTTTGAGTAATAATTTTTTAATTTTTTAAGGGCATTGTCCAGCACTCGTTAAGATGGAGTTCGCATATGAATATTTTTTTAAGAAAATAAAGTTAAATGAAAAATATATAGAAATACAAATGTAGGCTAGTAAATGAGCGTTTTGAATAATGATTTCTGTTCAATCTTTAGAAGGGAGGATTCTAATTTGTTGCCAAATGTTTTAGCACGGTATCATATTTTTCTTAAGTAGATATAAAATTCGGTGATAATTTCAGTAAATAGTCAGCCTTGTTTGGAATGCAATTATTCTTTCGATCACTTTTTTATCTTACATCTATTAAATCAAAATTTTTTTTAATCTTACGAACATCAAATTATTAAACTTCAGAAAATAGCAATCCAACCTCAACCATTGATAATATAATGTGAAGTAATCCTGGAACTGATTGATTAATTTACCTAGCTATACCATCTCATCCATAGATAGTATAAGCGTCTATGTTTGTTGTTTCAATTCACTTCGGATCTTCGGTGACATTTTTTTCTATGCCAACTCAATACCACCTATAATATTGTGTCCAGTATCCTGTTATTATTTACACTTTAATTTTCTAATAATTCAACTTGATTTAGTTTAACACAAATGTAAATAATAACAGGACACTTGGCACAATATTATAGATGACATTTGATTGGCATAGAAAAAATATCACCGAGAATCCCAAGTGATTTCAATTGGGGAAATCTCCTTGAAAAGTTGTTGCTGTCAATGAAAAGGCAAAAGACAGAGAGAGGAAATAAATAAATAAACAAAAAGGTTGAGTATTTAGAGTAGACTACGAAAATTAGGCAAGAAAGCACGCGTCCACCCGACAAGCACGAGCGTTTGTGGCAGCTGAACGAGGTACCTATGCCGTCGTAGTTCACCAAATATTACACTTAGATTTGCTTTTTGGTATTCTCAAATTCCATGTCAGGTTAGATACATTTATTATTTAGCAATAAAAAAAATGTTAATATTGATGATAGTATAAATAATGAAGAGGAATCCCACGTCAGTGTACAGTGTATTTTGATTCATTAACAAACAAAAGAAGAGGAAAACTTGGAGGCGCCTTCGTACCGTACGAGAGCAGAGGACGTTTTGTTGCCAAGAGCACGCCGGTCCCTTCATGCCCAGTTGGTATTTTGGTGAGTTAAAAGCTAAAACAAACTTCGTGCTTAGTGAAAGAAAGAAAAATTAGAGGGCAATGCTCCCTTTGTTTTTACTTGATTCACAAGTAAGCAATGCTCCCTTTGTTTTTGGATAGAATATTATTCCAAATAATTATTTGGAGTAATTATTGTAGTATTTTTTGTGACGTGATGTATGTGAAATAAAAAAGTAGTTAAAAATATAAAAAGATAGATTGAGAAATGTGTTTCTGATGCAAGCGAAAATATTTTTTTGAAAAATTGGCTATCCAAACATATAGTCGCTAGTAGTTCTTAAACCCTTTAAAACTAAGGGAGTGGTACGAGATGAATTAAGGAATTGGTGGTTCTGGAAGTTTACATTACAAGTAGTAGGGCTTAATTTGATCGATTGGGAGGATTTGGAATCTTCAAGGCATTAAAAATCATAGCATATATATTTTGTTTGCTTGGATCGAGGGAGATTATGCAACTTGATCGACAAGAAAGGTATCCACGGCATGGGACGAAGAATCTCTCCAAGCATTCCAATATATATATATATATATATGCAGAAGATTAAGATTGCAATTGGAGGCAGAGTCATTTACAAGCAAGTGCTGGAGTGGTGGAGGCCTATATATAATACAAGCAAGTCGTCATTACAGCCAAGT